CTGCCTCTGCCCATTTTAACCTAAAGGAGGCCTTTAACGATTCTCTCCGCTTCATGGGGGACAGCTATTCCTAAACTCTCAGATTTGTTTGTAAATTTACCTTAAAATTTGAGCTATCACTGAACTTTTCCATCTCCAACAATACTTCTGGTGAAGTTCTCCTTGGATTGATGATTGTTATTAACACATTGTCCGCAAAAGTGGTACTTTCTCTTCACTTACTAAATCTTTGTGGCCCCATATTGTATTGTTATTTCTAATAAATTAAAACAGTTCCATTATCAACACAAATAAAAGAGTAGATAAAGGGCACCCTTGACAAGTGCCATTACTTGTAAATAAAAGGGAAACGTTGACTATTAACATTTACTCTAGTGCTACAGACTGAGCATAAGGCCTTTACCCACATTTATCACTTCACCACTTCATTCAAAGCCACAGTATTACTAAAACAGATAGCAATCCATCTGTTAAATGCATTTTGGGATCTACATATAATATAAGAGTAAGTCTATGTGTTATATTTTCTCTATGAATTACATTTATAATTTTTTGTTTTAATATCACGTGCCTCTCTAGTTGGAACAATACCTGCTTGAGTAGAGCAGTTCATGTAGCAGGGGTTTGAGTTAAAGCAGTAGCATCTTGGCAAATAACCTTAAATCACAATTTGTAAGAAAAATTTACCTATGATCCTCGCATAGAGTGGGATCATTACCAGATATAGTGATTACTGTAATTGTTGCCTGTAACATAGAAGGTGTTATTGAGAGAGGTGCGATACGTAAATCATTAATAATAAAGTCGTCAAAATTCTGAAAGAAATATTATATAGTATCTATTTGAATACCCATCAGGTCCTGCACTCTTCCCTTCTGTAATGCATCCAATTGCCATTGATAGTTCCTCTAAAGTAAAAGGTTCATCTAATACAGTTACAGTGTTTTCTAGTGTAATATGAGCAGTATGTGAAACAACATAATAATGTAATAATTCATTCTCAGTAGCAAGTTAAGGTAAATTATCAAGGTGATTATAAAAATCACAAAAAGAAAGGGCAATAGAATCAGTAGTAAAAAGTAAAGTCCCATTTCACTCTCTGAGATCCAATGTGAAGGATAACTGATCTCTCTGCTTCAGAGCTCTGATAGCATTTTCCACATTTATTTCCAAATGAATAATATTTATGTTATGTTAACAGAAGTGCCCATTCTCTAGAAAGGTAATTTTATGACTACCAACTTCACATTGTTAGAAAAAAAGATGACACTCAAAGGTTTAATCTGAGCGTTTCAACATGCATCCAGGAAATAGTGTGGTTCCTGCTCACCAAGATGTATTGCACCTTCTCAAAGACATTCCTATTACTGGACATGCCAGACAAGAAAATATGTTTTGTCTTATACATAGACACATTTGGTGGCCATACATGAGAACCAATATCAGTTCCTTTACTATATGTAACCACTCCAAGAATATGACAAACCAGCAGGATTGTGACAGCCTTTGCCCATTCCTTCTTTATCTTGATCCCACATCACTGTGGATATAATTGTGGAATTTCCTGTCTCCAACTTTTAAAATGCTATCATGATAGTGGTGGGCAGGCTATCCAAAATGGCCCACTTCACTCCAACTCAAGGCAAACCTATAGCAAAACAAAGGCTGATTTGTTTTACAGATACATATTTCATCTACATGTAGTTCCTAAATCCATTCCAAAATTGGGATCCAAGTAAATTTGACTCTTTCCCATTACAGCAATAGTACAACCTATGGCTGTTTGCCTTCAACTATCAAATATCAGTTTTCCATGTTTCCCTCTTGAAACCCTGGAGCACCGAAACGTTTTCCAGTCAACTACAATCTCCTCCTTATGTCTTTAATGGAGGCTCAGACAAATACAAAGTGCAAAAATACTTTAGATGTAGAGGATTAATCCTGGGTACCTGCATTCTATGTACATGTGTCTCGATGTACCCAAGACTGCCATCATGCCTATCCTGCTAAACCATGTCCTCTGCACACCCAGAGCTTGTTCTGTGTGCTCAGTTAGCATGTAGAAACATAGAAACATAGAATGTGAGGGCATATAAGAACCATTCGGACCATCTAGTCTGCCCATTTTTATAAATACTTTTATTAGTCCCTGCCTTCTCTTATAACTAGGAGAGCCTATTCCACGCATGCTTAAACCCCCTCACTGTGTTAACCTCTACCACTTCAGCTGGAAGGCTATCCCATGCATCTACTACCCTCTCAGTAAAGCAATACTTCCTGATATTATTTTTAAACCTTTGTCCCTCTAATTTAAGACTATGTCCTCTTGTTGTGGTAGTTTTTCTTCTTTTAAATATAGTCTCATCCTTTACTGTGTTGATTCCCTTTATGAATTTAAATATTTCTATCATATCCCCCTGTCTCGTCTTTCCTCCAAACTATACATGTTAAGATCCTTTAACCTTTCCTTGTAAGTTTTATCCTGTAAACCATTAACCATTAACCAGTTTAGTAGCCCTTCTCTGAACTCAAAGTATCAATATCCTTCTGGAGATATGGTCTACAGTACTGTGTACAATACTCTAAGTGTGGTGTATCCTGGTTTTGTGCTGCCCTAGGCATGACAAAACTCAGGCACACCCCCCCACCACGCCTTCTAAATACACATACACACTCACTGACAGACACATATACACTAGCTAACAGACATACACACTCACTGACAGACACACATACACACTCACTAACAGACAACATACATACACTCACTAACAGACACACACTCACTAACAGACATGCATACACACTCACTAACAGACACACATACTAACACACTCACTAACACACACACACTTACACACTAACACACACATACTAACACACTCACTAACACACACACACACACACACACAAACAGACACTCACACACTCTCACTAATAGGCACTCACACACTCTCACTAACCGACACACACACTCACTAACAGACCCACAGTCACTAACAGACATGTATACACTCTCACTAACAGACACGCATACACACTAACAGATACACACACACTAACACATTCACTAACAGACACACACAAGCTCACTAACAGACACGCTCACACTAACACACTCACATTTTTTTTAAATTAAATTCCCTCCGCCGCCCTTTGGGAGTGCTGGGTGGATTCTCGCTTTCCCTGGGGTCCAGTGGGGCTGCTGGGCATCCGGCCGGTCACTGCAGTCGGAAAGGGAGCTCTGATCCTCCTGTTCAGCTCCTTCGCATGCAGCGTAGTGCAGCCGGTGCCTGAGTGATGTCATATTCCGGCTCCGGCATCACTGCGGGGTGCGCAAGGGAGCTGAACAGGAGGATCAGTGCTTCCTCTCCGCCAGCCCAGAAAGTGCCACTGCTGCCAGCCTCAGGGGACTATGAGGTGGCCAGCTGGCCAGCTCCTGAGCCCTACAGGACAAGAGGATGGCAAGGCAATTGCCAGGGCGATTGGTGGCGGCTTTTTTTGCTGCCCCCCACAAAGTTCCGCACAAGGCAAATGCCTTGTCAGCTTTACGGTAAATACACCGCTGGTCTCACCAGTGTACTGTACAATGGCATGAGCACCTCTTTCTTCTGCTAATACCTCTCCTTATACAGGGAGTGCTGAATTATTAGGCAAGTTGTATTTTTGAGGATTAATTTTATTATTGAACAACAACCATGTTCTCAATGAACCCAAAAAACTCATTAATATCAAAGCTGAATATTTTTGGAAGTAGTTTTTAGTTTGTTTTTAGTTATAGCTATGTTAGGGGGATATCTGTGTGTGCAGGTGACTATTACTGTGCATAATTATTAGGCAACTTAACAAAAAACAAATATATACCCATTTCAATTATTTATTATTACCAGTGAAACCAATATAACATCTCAACATTCACAAATATACATTTCTGACATTCAAAAACAAAACAAAAACAAATCAGTGACCAATATAGCCACCTTTCTTTGCAAGGACACTCAAAAGCCTGCCATCCATGGATTCTGTCAGTGTTTTGATCTGTTCACCATCAACATTGCGTGCAGCAGCAACCACAGCCTCCCAGACACTGTTCAGAGAGGTGTACTGTTTTCCCTCCTTGTAAATCTCACATTTGATGATGGACCACAGGTTCTCATTGGGGTTCAGATCAGGTGAACAAGGAGGCCATGTCATTAGATTTTCTTCTTTTATACCCTTTCTTGCCAGCCACGCTGTGGAGTACTTGGACGCGTGTGATGGAGCATTGTCCTGCATGAAAATCATGTTTTTCTTGAAGGATGCAGACTTCTTCCTGTACCACTGCTTGAAGAAGGTGTCTTCCAGGAACTGGCAGTAGGACTGGGAGTTGAGCTTGACTCCATCCTCAACCCGAAAAGGCCCCACAAGCTCATCTTTGATGATACCAGCCCAAACCAGTACTCCACCTCCACCTTGCTGGCGTCTGAGTCGGACTGGAGCTCTCTGCCCTTTACCAATCCAGCCACAGGCCCATCCATCTGGCCCATCAAGAGTCACTCTCATTTCATCAGTCCATAAAACCTTAGAAAAATCAGTCTTGAGATATTTCTTGGCCCAGTCTTGACGTTTCAGCTTGTGTGTCTTGTTCAGTGGTGGTCGTCTTTCAGCCTTTCTTACCTTGGCCATGTCTCTGAGTATTGCACACCTTGTGCTTTTGGGCACTCCAGTGATGTTGCAGCTCTGAAATATGGCCAAACTGGTGGCAAGTGGCATCGTGGCAGCTGCACGCTTGACTTTTCTCAGTTCATGGGCAGTTATTTTGCGCCTTGGTTTTTCCACATGCTTCTTGCGACCCTGTTGACTATTTTGAATGAAACGCTTGATTGTTCGATGATCACGCTTCAGAAGCTTTGCAATTTTAAGAGTGCTGCATCCCTCTGCAAGATATCTCACTATTTTTGACTTTTCTGAGCCTGTCAAGTCCTTCTTTTGACCCATTTTGACAAAGGAAAGGAAGTTGCCTAATAATTATGCACACCTGATATAGGGTGTTTATGTCATTAGACCACACCCCTTCTCATTACAGAGATGCACATCACCTAATATGCTTAATTGGTAGTAGGCTTTCGAGCCTATACAGCTTGGAGTAAGACAACATACATAAAGAGGATGATGTGGTCAAAATACTCATTTGCCTAATAATTCTGCACTCCCTGTATAACCAAGCACTCTGCTGGCATTTCCTACTGCTCTATTACATTGTCTGCCTACCTTTAAGGCATCAGAAATAATTACCCATAAATCCCTTTCCTCAGCTGTTGAGGTTAGAACTATATCAAAGATTCTGTACTCTGCCAATATATTTCAGTACTTTATTCTGTTATGACCCTTGGCTTTGTCTTCTGACCATGGATTTGCCTCTGTACTATATACTCTGAACCTTTTGCCATTTACGACCTTGGCCACATGCTTGTTTTACTCATATTTGAACCCTGCCACCTGGACTTTTGACCCAAGAATGGACTTTTGACTCTGTTCTCAGATTTGTCCCTTATTCCCAGAGTCCCGCATTCAGAGTGTAACCCACGTGACAGTATGTCATACATGTGTTGGTAGAATTAAATGTTTGTCTTGTTTCCTATTGTGTAGCACAGTGGAATATGTTTTTTGCTATAGAAATAGTCCCTCTAACAAAATTGTGCTTCTAAAATCTCTTGATATTGATTCCCACCTGAGCAGGCTGCCATACACAGCACAAACCCTCTTAGTACCATGACGGCTACATAACCACTCTTTTGACCTCTTTAATTAGGTCAAAATAATATATGATGAAATAATTTTTATGCACACGTTTGTAATAAATTTGACTGCAATTTAGTAATTATTTTTTCACTGTAACATTATGCCCAGCCATGTTAGCCTTTTATTTGTTGGCACAGAGTGGCTGTATGCTGAAGTACTGGAGTTAAAGGGACACTATAGTCACCAGTGCAACTACATGTTTTCCTGACCCTATAGTGTTAACACGACCATCTAGCCCCCCTGGGCCCCTCATGCCTCCATAAATATAGTAAAAATCTTACTGTATTCAAGGCAGAAGCTGTAAATCTGCATGCTGTTAGACTCAGGAAAAACAAGCAGTCTGCTGACATGTGATAGCCTGATCCAATCATAGTGCTTCCCCATAGGATTGGCTGAGACTGACAAGGAGGCAGATCAGGGGCAGAGCCAGCATGATTCAAACACAGCCCTGGCCAATCAGCATCTCCTCATAGAGATGAATTGACTCAATGAATCTCTATGAGGAAAGTTCAGTGTCTGCATGCAGTGGGAGGAGATACTGAATCACAGGATGCTCGTGCACAGCAGATCTGAGTGGATGGAGGCATATTATGCCTCCATCAACTCAGAAGTCCCTCTGGTTCACTCTGAGTGACTACAACTGGAGGTGTTCCTAGCTTTCAATTTCAATTTCAATTTTCTCAGAAAATATACAATGTTTACATGAGAAAGGCTGCAGGGAGCTGTGGTTCATCAAACTGCGGGGAAATCCTACATGTCACCTTTCATTTTTGGTTTACCTTGTTCTCTTTTTTTTAATTATTATATTGCTCCATTTATTCATTTTCAAATAAAAAGAAATGTAAGAAATGTTGTAAAGCAGTTTTTCAATATAAGTGATCTAATTTACAAAATTTTGATGACATACAATCTTTTCAAAATATTGGAGTTATTCTAAATTCTCAAATTTATATTACACTTTGTATTTCCATACATTTTTAAGATTACAAATTTAATTACAAAAATACATAAGCTATTAAAACAAAGCCACATTATTGTTCAATTAATTAATTAATGTCAGAAGTAACAGTTCTAGTGTTAAGTGTTATATTAGTGTTATGGGACACTGTGGGCACTAATACAAATTTAGTGCATTTGATTGACTTTGACCTTATTAATATGCTGTATTTTTTGCAATGAGGTATAGCCAATATCCCTCTCGTGAGCAAGGGGCCCACGTCTGTATTACTCATTAAACATAGGCAGAGCAAGAACAGAGAGTAGACAGAGAACCCGGGCCATTGTTTTGTAGTTCAAATCATTCAGTGCTGTCAGTGGCTACACTGTGCACATACCTTTCCTAAGGAAATATTTTTCTGAAATAAGGGGGTGGCGCTAAAAAAGCAGACATATGGTGCAGCATTCTGCAAAACATTTATTTATTTTATGCAAAAACTAGAAAAATTTGAGCATACAAAAAATAAAAATGGTAAATGTTGTATTGGTGTCCTCGGTGTCCCTAAACTAATATACTCATTAAACAGAGCATTATTAACATGGGTAGACATGTAAAAACAAATCTACCAAAGTGGAAATCATATACAAATTGACAATTCTAGCCTAACTTTGTCAATCACCACATTTCTTTGCAATCAAAGTTAAATACCTTTAACTGAATTGAATCTGTTATCTTCAAGTTCAGGCTCCTATAGAGAAGAATATCACAATAATTATTACCTTTACTATAACTTTTGCTATTACATTCACACAGGCCATGCCAAGAGTATACGAAGAATTGGTAAACCATAAAGGAAAAACAGTGGTTATGGTTTTTTTAATGATATTTATTTCACTTAATCAAAACTCAAATCACATGCTTTTAGCAGCAATATAAGTATGATGGGAGTTTTCTTCAACAACAATTAAACTGACAAATGTAAGCAAAAACTACTACTTTATGTACTGAAGGATAAAAAGCTAATCGAGTACTTCCATCAACTAAATAAACATGGTAGGCGTTGTAGTACATGTTGCAATATGTCAGACTATCACCAGTCCAGGTTTTTTGCATTCCTTAAAGGGACACTATAGTCACCAGAACAACTACAGCTTAATTTAGTTGTTCTGATGAGTATAGTCAATCCCTGCATGCTTTTTTTTTTTTAATTCTTTGTTTTTATTTGTGCATAGTTGGTACAAACATTCTTCCATAGCCACAACAGCTGTTGCAAGTCTTTTCTTTCAGGCATAGGTATACAGTTGTTGGCTTCAATAACACAGCACTTTTTATATGGTATACATTATAACGTTAGGATGATTATTGTTTGTTATAAGCAATTAAATGGCTAGCGTGCAGCCCCTGTTTAAGTGTGACATCAGGAGCATACTCTTGGTTTTTATGGGGCAGGGCGCAACAGTCGCCTCTTGGTCGTTAGGTTGAACTAGGGCAATTAAACTAGAAGTGGATTAGAGAGACCTGTGTCCCCATTCACTGACACTTAGGTCTGTAATATCGGTCATTTTTCATGAAATAGAAAGGGGGGAGTTGGGGGGAGAACGGGTAGTAGTACTGCAGTGTGTACATACAGCTTTTGAGAGGACATATAAATATGCCAAAGGTCGTTGGCAACCAGCTTTAAAACAAAAACATAAAACATAAAACATAAACATGGAACGTTACTTATAAAGGCTTGTGGTTAGAGCCCAAGTCTAAGGTTTCAGGCATTGGTGGTGTCAGGGAATTCATGGCACCGAGGCAGATGCTGTTTCTCCTCGTTGGGCCGCTGGTATAAAGGGTCGTGCTGTGGCGGGGTTCCAGGCTGTAGTCGTCGTCAGCTTGTTGGAATCTGCGGGACCCAGTCCTTGTCTTCCCAGTGCGAGTTGTTGTAAGGTGTCAGGTATTTCAGAAGCTTTGTGTATTTTAAGGGTGCCAGTGTCCCTGGTTATAATCAGAGTTCTGGGGGAGCCTCAGCGGTAGGGTATGTTGTGTGCTATGAGTTCTGTAGTCAGGGGTCGCAAGGGCCGTCTCCAGTCCATGGTGGCCTTGGACAAATCAGGGTAAAAGGTCAGAGAGTGGCTTTCAAAGTGGAAAGGAGAATTACTGCGCACGGCCGCCATGAATGTTTGGCGATCTCTGCCTTGTTGTAATCTGACGATTACATTGTTCCCCCTCACCGGTGTGCCGGCTTGCTGACCAGAGATGCGGAAGCAGCTATCCAGCGGCATCCCTTTGGCCTTTTTGGGTTTGAATAATGTGTTGAGCAGTCTGCGGATTAGGTGCGGCAGCTCTGTGGTCTCTGCCTCTTCTGGTAGGCTTCGGATTTTGACGTTCTTCCCACGTCTTTTGTCTTCAAGTGCTGCCATGTTGATTTGGTGTTGTTTCTGTGTCTTTTGCAGGGTGAGAATTTGTTGTTCCACCGATGCTAGATGGGATTCTTGTGCGGCGGTGTTTAGCTCCGCGTTTTGCAGGCATGCCACCACTCCACTGATCTCGTCGCGGAAGACTCCGATGTCGGCTGCTATGTTGCGGCGCAGCTCTCCCAGCATGACCTTGAGCTTCTCCTCTGTGAGGCTAGGTTTCATGGGTGATTGGATTGGTCTTCCCACCACTCCAGTGCCATAGTCTTCCTCTTCTGATTCGGTGGTCTCGCTGAACGAGTGGTACAGGCCCTCCAGTTGTGGTGCCGTGTCGGGCCTCTGGAAGTTTTGGGGCCTCCGCAATAGTTCTCCGATGTCAGCTGTAGAGGGGGGTTTGTCCGGTTTTTTATTTCGCCGCCCCATGTTTGTCTGAAAGCAGGCTGCTGATATTTGCGTTAAAAAAGTACATTTTCCTTCGTTTTTATGGTTGTTTGAGTGAGTTTCCCTCTGAGCTCAAGGCATATGCATCCTCTCGGTATGGCTGCCAGCTCCGCCCACCCCCTGCATGCTTTTTAATGTAAACACTGCCTTTTCATTACAGCCTAGGGACACCCCAGTGGCAGTCAGTGGCAGTCACTCAAACGGCCACAAAAGGTGCTTCCTTGGTCAGTGCTGCACAGTGTGCAGCACTGACATTCAGCGTCTTCACGCTCTGCATGGAGATGCTGAACGTTATTCATAAAGATGCATTGATTCAATGCATCTCTAGGAGGAGATGCTGACTGGCTAGGTTGGTGTTTTGCTCCGCCCCCTCCCTGCCTCCTAGGCTGACATAATCAGAATTGAGGATCTTCCTATGGGAAAAATTTTGTGATTGGCTGAGAGCATCAATTCTGCTGATGTCAGCCAAGTAGGCAGATCGGGAGCAGACCCAGCGACTCAGACCCGCTCAATGCTGGAAAAAGAGGTGTTTTCCTTTTATTTAAGGAGAGCAAGGTGGGAACCAAAGACCTAACATATGTTTTTAACACTATAGGGTCAGGAATACACGTTTGTATTTCTGACCCCATCTTATTCCTTTAATTCTGTCTGCAAAGGGATACTGACAAACTCTGTACAATTAAAGTAACATTGCATGTGTGACTGAAATATTTTATATAGTAAAAGAACTGTGCCGGTCGGAGGAATCTTGTGGACCTTCATCAGGACTGCTTTATCACCTCAATGCAATAATAAATGTTGAAGAACGGGCATCACAGCAATATATGCAGAAAAAACTATATTATTTTGAAGCCACAAATGGCCCTGGTTCACGGTATGAAATACAATGTTTCAGTTATGTAAGCCTTAATCATGTATACACATATTATTATATCCACCATGTAGGGACACTGTTATCTCCAGTATAGATTCACCAACAGTGAATGTATCAGAATACTTCAGTTGCTTCTTTCAACCCTATGTAAAAAAAGTCAAATCACATTTAAAAAGACACCACTAGTATCATCAGATATTTAACTAGTTTTGAATGGTTAGACAAATACCTACTTGTAATGATGGATGTGATGTTTTTATATGCTAAAATATACCATGCCAAGGGATGTGATGCTGGAGCTAATGCACTGAGAACAACCAAAGATCTAAATGACCTTTGAATGGAACTAATATTGAAAGGGATCTTGTTTATCCTTACTAATAACTAAATCTGGTTCAAAGAAAAATATTACCTTCACAAAATGGCACAGAAATGTGGATAAAATGTTGCCCTTGTTTTGCCAACTTATTCATGAGTGATTGGGAAGACCATCACATCTAGAACAAGCACAAATGGAATGATAATGTATGTCTGTATAATAGATACATAGATGACATCTTTATTTGGCAAAGTGATGCATTCACGCTGGAGGAATTTCCAGTTTATCTTAATTCTAACACATAGGGGATACATCTAACAACTAACTATAATGGGAAGTAGAATTTTTAGATTTAACAAAATACACAGATAAGGACGCCATTAAAACTAAAACCTTATTCAAAGAACCAGATCACCTGAGACCCTTATGAAATTTCATGAGGAAATTAACCTGATGAATCTCAACATTAGGTTCACGATGCACTGGAGCAGAACCCAAATAAGCTTTTAGATCTGATGATACAGTACTGTGGCGGTAAATAGGTCACAGATCTGTATACCATATCCCCAGATCAAAGTAACCTTCTCAATTTTACTGGCTTCCATCCAGAGGAGACTTTATGCTCACTCTCTTGTCATTTGATGAGAATAATGAGGAATTTCTCTGAGGATGAGCGACATGATGAGATGATTGTCAATTTGAAATAAGAGGCTATCCAAGAGATCTCTTGAGATAAGAAAAGGATCTTGTCCTATGGAAGACAAAAGCTTTAAAACCAAAAAAGATTGAGACCACCAGGGATGATGTATGCAGTACGTTTAATGAATTGAATAAAAATGTTTCTCACATACTCCGGAAACATTGGGGAGTTCTCAAGAGAAGTTGCACCAATATCTTAGAGCTTCAAAATCACCCTCTCTGTTACTACAGACAAAATAGGAGTTTCAGGGATACTTTTTTTTGTGTGCAGATGTGGGCACCTTTGACAAGAAACAGAGGTTTCCACCATCTCCGGTATTTCCCTGTCTGAACAGGGGTTTTTGTGGGTCCTTTATAAATAGAGACACTTTTTATCATCCACATACTAGCACAGCGATTTCGAAAAGTGTGTGAGCACCGCGATGTGCACACAGGGGTGCCGCGGAATGTTTCCCTGGTGCTATGATTAAGCACTGGGGAAACATTACTGCTGAACAGGGGCCGGTCAGGTGCCGCTGTCCTTTAAGACCGCGACCGGACCCCTGTAATGTCGGCCGGCTGGGAGGAAGTGAAAGCCTGTCACTTCCTCCCAGCATCCTGCAGGGAGGCAGAGCGGGGGGAGGCAGCCGCAACGTGAGGGGAGAGAACATAAACAGCTCCAGACCCCTCACTCCCACAGCAGCAGGACTCTATGCCACCATCCTGGCACATAAGGTAAGCTGAAAGGAGGGTGCCTGGAGAAAAAGAAAAAAAAATATCACTTGTATGTGTGTGAGTGTGTGTATGAGTTTGCATGTGTGTGAGTATGAGTGTGTGTGTGTGTGAGTGTGTGTGTGTCATGGTGTTTGTGAGGGTGTATGTTTCAGGGTGTGCATCTGTGTGTGAGTATATATATATATATATATATATATATATATATATATGCAACCATATGTCAGTGTGCTTCTGTGTCACATCTGTGTATGAGCGTCTGTGTCTCAGGGTGTGTGTTTTTATATCAGTGTGTGTATCTGTGTCATGGTGTGAGCATGTATCAATGTTTGTGTGTGTCAGGGTGCATGTGTGTATATGTTGGTGTGTATTTATGTGTGTGTGTGTGTGTGTGTCTGTGTGTATCTCTATGTGTGTATATGTGTTGGTGTCTATATGAATTTGTGTGTATGTGTCGGTGTATTTATATGCATCTGTGTGCTAATGTGCATGAATATCTCTGTAAGTATGTATGTATGTGGTAGTGTATGTGCATACATTCAAGCAAACACCAGCACAACATACAAGCACACTCTTGCAATCTAATACACATAATACATACAAACAAACCACTACATTCAAACTCAAAAAAATATATACAAACACACCCCTTCACTCAAACACAAATACTTCACACAAATGTACATCCACATTTAAAAGTGTACATTACATTCAGACACACCCCTGCAATCAATGCAAACTTTACTGTGACAGACCACTTGCCACTCCGACTGGGTACCTCCGCCAATCGATGCTTCCTAGCTGACGCTGAGGACCATAAGCACCGCACCGGACACCATAAGCACCGTAGACCCCTTGAACTGCCGCAGCTTGGTTGGGATCTCGCCATCCCTTCCCGTCCTGGACTAAACTCCTGGATCCAGAGACTCCGTGGGAAGGCTTCTCCTCCAGAGAGTATAGCTGTGAAGCTCTTACAAGAGCTAGTGATATAGCTGTGAAGCAGGTTCCCTACAAGCACAAGACGAGGCTACGTGTTGAGGGTTAAGCAGGAATTCAATTTTAATGGTGCCACACTGGCCTTTTATGACAATCCCCACATGGACCTTGTTGGGGACAGGGACACAAACTTACAAACCAATGATAACACGTTTAGAATGTATGACACTCCCACATACAATACAATAAGCCTTCCCCTTTATAATTGAGTCAAGCACTATACTAAACTCAATTATCTCCAAACACAAAAAAACACACATTTCTAAAAAGTCCAAAAAAGTACCCCAAAACACATAGTATCCATACACATCTTACATCCCCTGATAGCCATGATCTGGGTGACCAACATATCCAAAAATCACCCAGATCAGTTCAGGGGTTCAGAAATTTTATGAAAGTCATATTTTGTTACCAACCGCAGGCATGGTTACTTAGCCGAAAATAGTTCCATAGAATCGCGGCAAGTGCCGCTGGAGGACCGACCGGGAACCACAAGGTTTTCATGCTGAAAGTAGTTCCAGGGCATTCGCGGCTAAGTCCCCCTGTAGTCTATTCGTGGTTTTGGTCCATTTGAACAAGATGGCCGCCACCTCGTGGTTGAATGGCACTCCAATGGCTTCAGGAGTTCGGGAGTTCGAAGTGCCGCTTCGAAAGTTCGAATTGTGGCCATACAAGTACAAAAAGGCACACACAGTGGTTTTAACCAGGATTTAACACAGGGCAAGATGCTGGCAAGTATGCCCCTCCAAGAACCTGTGATGAGGTCCAGTTCGTCACAATTACATACAAACACACCCCTGTATTAAAACACTAAAACTATATACAAGCATCCCTTCAAACACCAACTCTGTACATTACACTATAGTGCCAGTAAATGCCGCAGTGCTGTACAGATGCGCAACCTAGAAATTTTGACTTGGGGTGACTTGGGAACAATACTGAAATATTAAGGGCGCCTTGAACCTAAAAAGTTTGTGAAACACTGTACTAGCAAGTCATTTAAGTGAATGGATATTTTACTTGTGAATCAAGCATTGTGATCTATTTTCTTAAAGCGGCACTGTCATGCCGAATTCATGCCGAATTCTGTTTTTTTTTTAACCCCTCTCCCGCCTCCACTAAATCCAATTGACCCACTAGTCACCCCCAAATGCACCTAAGCCCCCAGCATTACCTATTTATTAATCCTTATTTTCTGCCCCAATCTATATTCAGGGCGCCGCCATCTTTGTGTGGGTAGATGAAGTCCCTCAGGGACACGTCATCAGCCCACACTAAGCAGACTGTGAGATTCCCGCACATGCCCAGTGAAACACCTGGACATGCGAACGGGAATTTCATCTATTCATTCATTCATCAGACAGACGAATGAGTGAATAGAAA